ACACTCATAATCCATAGCCTTTAAATAAAGAATCTAGGGGTAAATGAACACACTAAAGGTATGTGATAGCAAACAGCAGGCATAAGTTGAACCAATCAACCTACAGAGTAGTTGGGTGTGGTGGTATATGCCTTTACTTCCAGCACTCCAGAGGCAGAGGAAAGCAGATCTCTGAGTTCCAGGCCATCCTGGTCTATAGAGTGAGTTCCAGAACAGCTAGGGCTACACAGAGTAACCCTATCTCAAAAAAACCAAAAACATAAATAATAATAAAAACCTATAGAGCACAACTGGAAAACCCACTAAGAAGTAATGGACACTGGGCATCCCACACCTACTGCTTCTATTCATCAAAACAAAGGTGCCCCATATTAGCACAGTATTGATTAAAATATGTCATGACTGCAACTTCAAACAAAATGTGAACCAGGAAAACAGCTGTGAAATATAATAGTATTACTGACTTTCCCTTTCATCTCTGTGAGTTTGAGGCCAGCCACGTCTCCAAAGCTACACAGAGAAACCCTGTCTCGAACACCTCCCCTCCCCCCAAAAAAGAGCTACTGTGGTCATGGGTGTCTTTTCACAGCCATTGAATTGGAACCCTAATTAAGACACTAAGTATGGAGCCAGGCGTTGGTGGCGCATGCCTTTAATCCCAGCACTCGGGAGGCAGAGGCAGGCGGATCTCTGTGAGTTTGAGGCCAGCCTGGTCTCCAGAGCTAGTGCTAGGATAGGCTCCAAAGCTACACAGAGAAACCCTGTCTCTAAAAAAACAAAACAAAAGACAATAAGTATGAAGGTTCAAAACCATTTTTCGCATTTCATGCAACAATGTTTCTCTAATGTCAAAATTTTGTTTTCCTAGCATGAAACAACAAAATAAAGTACTAAAGAAACTCAAATTTTATAACTGAACTTATTTATACACAATAACTTTTATATAAATGACTAAACATGGCTGTATATAGGGTATAAACTTTAACATTAATCAACAAAGAGTAAACCATTCTTAAAAAATACTATTGTAATAGCTCATATAGCAAGAGCCCAATTCAACTAACTTTATGTTCTCATCTGATAACATGTACATTACATAAGAAAATCAATAACAATTAGTTTGGGGGCCTAGCAACCCCTAGTATGTAAAAAGTAGATGAAGGCTTGAGTGAGTGTGTACTGTGAACATGACACAGTCACATCAAGTATCAATGCCTCAACACATGGGAACTGGCAAAGCCTTCCCCCATAGGGGTCAGGGTTGGAGTGGCAAAGCCTCCCACACAGGGGTCAGGGTTAGAATGGCAAAGCCTTCCTGTGGTCCCAACAGGAATGTTTCCTATCAGCTGACCAATGTGCAAAAACTAGCAACCATAGCTTCTTCCCACCAATGATTACAGCCAGAGACCACTGTAACTGACACCTCCCACCGAGACTCACTATCTCCTCCTGGCTGTGCAGCAATAAACAGACTGAGGTTCCAGATTGCTGTGGAACTTGGTGCCACTCCACCAGAATGTACACAGCCCAACTGACCCTGGCTAGATTTATTTATTATGTATACAGTATTCTGTCTGCATGTATCCCTGCAGGCCAGCAGAGGGCACCAGATCTCATTACAAATGGTTGTGAGCCCTCATTTGGTTAACTGCAGGACCTCTGGAAGACCAGCCAGTGTTATGAAGCACCAAGCCATCTCTCCAGCCCTGAGAAAAGCTCTAAAAAAGAGAAAGATTCCTTCCTAGTTGTCCATTATCCAGAAAAGTTCTCTGACTTAAGAACTAAAATCTCCTAGGATGAAGAAGAGAAACCAAACAGATCTAAATTATTTATTTACTTCTTAATTATATGTATATGTGTTCTGGGGGACTATGCACATGGTTACAGGTGTTTAAGGAGACCAGAGGCCTCAGATTCCCTGAAGCTGGAGTTACAAGTGGCTGTGAGTCACCTGACAGGTGCTGGGAATCGAACTCAGGTCCTCTGGAAGAGCAGTGTATGCTCTCAATCACTGAACCAACTTGGCCAGCCTTGACCATAGAGATTTTTAATGCCCTCATGATTCCAGTGATCTGTCAGGTTGGGAGAAACTAGAAATCGCTGTGACCTTACACAGGCCCATCTCTGCAGGAACAGACAACTTTGCCTCTGTGTCTTATGGTCTCCAAAGCATCTCTTATCATTGGATTGTGATTATAATTAGATATAAAAACATGTAGATGATCAAGTGTGTCTAATGAGAGAGCTGCCACAGTCTAAATGTTTGGGACAATTTTCCTTCGTGAATTTTAATCTGTATTTCACTTCTGTGTTAATGGAAAGAAAAATTTCAGGCATGCTAGGTACAAGTACTTACATAAGCTACAAATACCCATTAAGTAGCTTGATGCAAGTTTACAAATACATTATCATTCCTTTTTAAACCTGATGTTCAACATTCACAGTCTTTTGAAACTATGCAAAACTAGGTTAGTTTTGTTGCATTCTACATAGACTGAAGGTATGCATACCCGTCTATAGACTGCTTCTTATTAAATATTACAGTTTGGGCGGATCCATGGTAATCATGTAGTTCTACTTTGTTTTCATCATTATTTATTACAAAAGTATATTAAAATTATCTTCCTTAAATTACTTAGGCTGTTGCCAAGTTCCCACTATTCTAAATGAATATTATCATATCTCTGTACATTTCTTAGTAGAAGTTTTTAACTTCCCAAGAGTCTTTATCAAGCCATTAACTAGGTCAGACTTCACAGTCGTCAAACACAGAACTGTCTTTTTCTGAGCTGATCAAAGACAAGGGGAAATAATCTTGAAAATGAAGATAAACTGCTTCTTAACACTTGGAATGTGCAATGGAGATTTCCCTTCACAACAATCTGATTATACTGGAACAGACATGAGTAAATTCAGTTTGGGATCATCCACATCAAATCTTTTCATAACAGGAAAATAAGTAATCTCTAACTGGTTTTCAAGTATTTTGCTGTTGTTGTTGTTGTTTTGTTTTTCAAGACAGGGTCTCTCGGTATAGCCCTGAACTAGTTCTGTGGACCAGGCTGGCTTCTAACTCAGAGATCCACCTGCCTCTACCTCACAGTACTGGGATTAAAGGTGTGCGCCACGACCAGGCTCAAAACAATTCTTAAACAATATTACTTAAAATAACATTTGTCACATATGGATGTAGCACAAATTCTCAATGGTATTAATAATAAAAACCCAGAGACAGACATTGAGGTTAAAGCTGAAGATCAGGGAAGCAAAGTGGCCAGCCACTAGAGCGTTCTCACCTCTACCAATGCTCAGACTGAAAGGGGAGCTTGTCACCCACAGCTAAACACTGAGCTGAACTCTGCAATCCAGTTGCAGAGAGGGAGGAGTGATGAGCAAAGGGGTCAAGACCAGGCTGGAGAAACCCAGGGAAACAGCTGACCTGAACAAGGAAGGGGTTGCTTGTAGACCCCACAGTGATAGCTGGAAAACCAGCATAAGACTGTTCCAGACCCCCTGAACGAGGATGTCAGTTTGGAGGTCTGGTTAATCTATGGGGCCTCTGGTAGTGGATCAGCATTTATCCCTAATACATGAATGGACTTTGGGAACCTATTCCACATAAAGGGATACTCTCTCAGCCTAGACACATAGGGGAGGGTCTAGGCCCTGCTCCAAATGATGACAGACTTTGAAGATCCCCCATGGAAGGTCTTGTCCTCCCTAGGGAGCAGAAAGGGGATGGGATAGGGGGTTGGGTGGAGGCAGGGGAGGAAGGGAGGGAGAGGGAACTGAGATTGACATGTAAATGAAGCTTGTTTCTAATTTAAATTAAAAAAGGAAAAAAAAAAGTCAATCTTGTCCTTAGACTGCATCTGTCTTCAGGGAATCTCAGATAGCTTCCAACTCCACTGTTCCACAGACTGCACTGAGCTCCTGTCTCCTCCTCCTTATATTCCTCTCTTTACCCAGTAATATCACTTCTGTCTCCACCTCCCTAGTGCTGGGATTAAAGGCATGTTACTCCAAGTGCTGGGATCACCTAGGTTCTGTGAGCTCTGTTTCTCTTTTAGACCAGATCGATTTCATGTAGCACAGGTTAGCCTTGAACTAACAGAAATCCATCTGTCTCTGTCTCCAGAGTGTGGGACTAAAGGTGTGCACCACCACAGCCTGGCCTGTATGGCTGACTAGTGTGGCTGCTGGGACTAAAGGTGTGTGCCACCACAGCCTGGCCTCTACGACTGACTAGTGTGGCTAGCTCTGCACTCTGATCTTCAGGAAAGCTTTGTTAGATCATAAACAAAATATCACCACATATGCTATCATTTGACTAATATTTTTCCTAAATAAATTCAGTAAGAGACTCATTAATTAAATTCACCTACGTGTGCCTAAAGAAACGGCTACAAAAGGACTGCCTTTAAGGCAGTCACTGTAAGACCCTGTCAACCCAGCCAGATGTTAAATACTTACCAAATATGGCTAAGGTTGTCACTTGAGAAGATATTATAGAGGATTTTGTTTTCAATTACCTTTTAGGGGCTGGAAGGATAGCTTAGCAGAGAACTGGCTGCTCTTTCAGAGGACCCAGGTTCAATTCCCAGCACCTATCCACATAGTGGCTCACAACCGTCTATAACTATAGTTCCAGATAATGTGACCACCTTTTGGCCTCTGTGGGCACTGCTCATGAGTGCAATGCAGACATACACGCAAGCAAAATAGCCATATGCATCAAATAAAAATATGAAACAAAAAAGAAATTTAAAAGTTACCTTACAAAAGCCCTTTTTAATTGTACTGAAGTCAGGCAAAACGTAGTCAATCATCACTGTATTATCTTCTCCTTTTAATCTGAAAAAGAATATTTACAAAATTTGCAACTGAGAACAGCACCTGAAAATCCACTTGCCAAATGCCAATGACATCATACATACTTTGCGATCTCCATGTCCCTGTAGAAGTCCTGAGACACATAGCACACTTCTTCTTTCACTTGATTCATCACATGAGTTTCATCCATAACATGCAGCTGCCTAACAGACAAAAATGTGTACAATGTGAGGTCTGGCAAGGGGTTTCCACATGTTAGGAACCTGCCTTCAAGCTTGAGGAGTTCGATCCCTGGGACCCACAAGGTGGAAGGAGAGAATGGACTCCCACAAGCTGTCAACTCGTCTTCATATGCACATGCATATATACCACACATGGCACCAAACAAAATAAATGCAATTTATAAACAGACAGAATTTGAAATGAGAAACAACTGAACATTACTTTAAAGTACCATTTAAATTCCTTTTAAAGCTTTATTTTTATTCTATTCATTATGCATTTTGCTGGTATGTATGTTTGTAAACTAATGTGTAGTGTCCATAGAGGCCAGAGAATGGTGCTGCAACTATAGTTATGAACAGTTTTTAGCCTATATGTGGGTGCTGGGAACCAAACCAGGGTCCCTTGGAAGAGCAGCCAGTGCTCTTAATTCTCTCCAGCTCCTCTCTGTTACATTTTTAATTATCTGACTGCAAACACACACACACACACACACACACACACACACACACACACACTCGCTAGAATTAATATAATAATGTTGTTTTTAAGAAACATTAAAGTACTACTTTTTTTGGTGTGTGTGTGTAGGTGTCCAGTTTTAGTTTCGGTTTCTACTGCTGCGATGAAAACACCATGACCAGAAAGCAAGTTGGGAAGGAAACAGTTTATTTGGCTTGCATTTCAGCATTGCTGTTCATCACTGAAGGAAGTCAAGACAGGAACTCAAACATGGCAGGAACCTGAAAGCAGGATCTGATGCAGAGGCCATGGAGGGTGCTGCTTATTAGCTTGCTACCCCTGACTTACTCAACCCACCTTTTTTATAGAACCGAGGACCAGCAGCCCAGATGGCACCATCTTCTATGGGCTAGGCTCTCCCCAACTGATCACTAAATGAGAAAATGTCTTACATCTGGATCTCATGGAGGTATTTCCTCAACTGAGGCTCCTTCCTCTCTGGTGACTCTAACTTGTGTCAAGTTTACACAAAAAACAGCCAGTACAGTACAGAACTAATTGGCCCAGGCTAGCCCTGAACTCATGGAAATAATCCTGCCTCAGACTTTAGAGTGTTAACATTACAGGTGTAGGCTACCATGTCCCATTTGAAATATTAAATTCTTGAATGTGTAAAACAAATCTTAACCTTACAAAAAATTCTCAATTTGATTATCATATTTAATCTGTAAATCTTTCTTTAAAGTGCAAGTGTTAGTTCAGCTACAGAGGAAGAAACTCAGAATGGGTGTTAGGTGGTCTTATCTGACCACAGAGTGAACTATCCCTTAGTACTCTGAACTGACTCTCACTAGAATGTCCTCACTCCTAACATCTTCTTTTCTGATTATAAAGTATTATGAATCAGTACAGTACACAATATAGATGATGAGTCAATGAAAACACAGAAAACGGGATTTTGTTTGGTTTTTGAGAAAGGGTTTCTCTGTGTAGCTCTGGCTGTCCTGGAACTCACTGTGTAGACCAGGCTGGTCTTGAATTCACAGAGATGCCTGCCTCTGCCTCCCACGTGCTAGTATTAAAGATGTGCACCACCACTGACTGGCTCAGGAAGTTTTCAATGAGATACTTTCCTTAGAATATTTTACTTTGTACAGATTTTGTTATATGCTACATGCTTATTTTATATTTTCAATTAAATATTATCCCACAAACATTTTCCTATGCTATTATTCATTTTTGTTTGTTTTCAGACAGAATCTCATTACATAGCACTTACTGTCCTAGAAATGACTGTGCAGGACAGGCTGGCTTGAACTCATGGAGTTCTACCTGCTCCTGCCTCCAGGGTGCATGTGCCACCATGCCCAGCTACATTATTCTGTTGCCACTGGCCAAGCTACTGTGGAGCCAACCTCTGGGAACTGAAGACAAAATGAACCTCCCCTGATTATCTTGCATATTTTGTTACACCAACTCAAAGCTGACCAATACAATGTAGTGCATATGTTTCAATTTGTTTCTAAGATTCATGGCTAGCTCAGTCCTTGTATTTTTAAAGCTTTTGCCTATATATGAGGATTAAACCTTTTCTATACTTAAAAGCCATCAACTATTCTGAGGACTAATGATATGACTTAGTGAGTGAATAAAGAGGCTTGCTGTGCAAATCCTACAGCCTGAGATCAATTTGAGAGCACACATAACTGTCCCTTGACCTCTCTGTCTCTGTCTCTCTCTCTCTCTCTCTCTCTCTCTCTCTCTCTCTCTCTCTCTCTCACACACACACACACACACACACACACACAAATAATAAACTAGAAACAAAGCACGTATTCTGAGAGTGGCTATTAGAGCCTGGGAAGGGTATGTAGGAGGTGGAGTAAAGACAGTTAATGGTAGAGTGCTTGGGCAGGGGGAATAATTTCTAATGCTCTAGAACAATAGGACAATATGGTTCAAATATTTCCATTATTCAAAATGGTAGAATTTAAAAAAATTCCCAATCCAGTGAAACAATGTCTGAGGAGATGTCCTAACTATCCTAATTTTATGTATGTGTGTGCATGTGTATATGTGTGTCATATCAAAATAACAGTCTGCCCACTAATTATGTATAACTACTCTATATGTATGTAAAAACTTAATAACATATAGCTTTAAAATTTATTTCTATTTATTTATTATGTGTGTATACCAGCAGACACACCCAGGTGTGCCAGGGCTTGGGTGTCAGAGGCCAACTCTGTGAAGTCAGTTTTCTCCTTCCATCATTTGGTCCTGGTGACCAAACTCAGGTTCTCAGGCTTTCAGGCAAGCACCTTTACCATCCGAGCCATCTAATCCTGCCAGCCCAAAATAGATTTCAAAAGAACCTTACCCTGTTCTGGTTCAACTACTTTCTGGTCACTTTTACATGTACTGCATCACACTCATGATTTGCAAACCTTACTTATGCAAATACAGTAAGGAAAATACATACTTTGTTACTTTTGTTTCAAATATTTTCCTGTGTGTGCATTTTTAAAGTAAGTCTTTTGTGGAGGATGGAGTTGAGACAGGGTCTCACGACGTAACCCAAGGAGAGCCAATAAACTCACTATGTTGCCTTGGCTAATACTGAACTATTGATTCTCCTGCTGGCCAAGCGCTGGGATTATAGGTATGTGCAACAGTGCCCAGCCCTGTCATCTTAAATCTCCATTTGCCTTAACCTTTACTCCCTTTCCAATTTGCTTCTCCTCACTTTCTTGGAGAAGGGAATTAAATATCACAACATTCTGAAATCAAGCCCAGCTGACTTGGTTCAATAGTACATAACATTTACATAAACATAATATTGTGAATATTGTTCAAGAGCTTTGAGCTTTTAGACTTACATTTAAGCAAGGAAAGTGGAAGGCCCACCTTAAGTCCGGATGAACCTCACCCTTGTCAGCCCTCTGCCCTCCAGCTGCTGCCTGAGCCTAAGTCTGAGCCCTCTGCCTACTGCCTGAGAGAGGGAGGGGCCCCACCTGCACCCACTGGAAGAAGGGATGGGAAGACAACAGAATAAGAACACACTCAACAACAAGGAGAACAATATGACAGCAGCAGAATCTAGGGACTCCACACCAGCAAGAATTGAAAACCTCAATGCACAGGATGAAGAAGAGATGGACCTTAAAAATTATCTTATGAGCCGAGCGTCGGTGGCGCACGCCTTTAATCCCAGCACTTGGGAGGCAGAGGCAGGCGGATCTCTGTGAGTTTGAGGCCAGCCTGGTCTCCAGAGCGAGTGCCAGGATAGGCTCCTAAGCTACAAAGAGAAACCCTGTCTCAAAAAACCTAAGAAAAAAAATTATCTTGTGAAGATGATAGAGACCATTAAAGAGGAACAAGAAAATCCCTTAAAGAAATAGAAGAAAAACCAAGCAAAAAGTTACATAAAATGGTATAAGACAAACCAAAAAATTCAAGAAATAATTCTCTTAAAGAATCTAAAGAGAGCTGGGAGTTGGGGGCGCACACCTTTAATCCCAGCACTTGGAAGGCAGGGGCAGGCAACCCCTGCTCTTCCAGGGGTCCTGAGTTCAATTCTCAGCAACCACATGGTGGCTTCACAACCATCTAGTGCCTGGCTTGCAGGCATACATGAAGACAAAACACTGTATACATAATAAATAAATAAATCTTTTAAAAAAATCTAAAGAAAGACAAGAAAAAACAACCAAACATGTGACGGAAACAATTCAAACAGTTCACAGTTTGATAGCACAATTAGAAACCATAAAGAAAACACAGAATAAGGAAATGCTGGAAATAGAAAAGCTGGGTAAACGATCAGGAACCTCTAATGTAAGAATAGCCAATAGAAAACAAGAGATGGAAGAGAGAATACCAGGTGTTGAAGACTCATTAGAGGATATACAGTCATCAACCAAAGAAAATCTCAAGTCGAACAAATCCCTAACACAAAATATCCAGGAAATAGTGAAAAGACCAAACCTAAGAAGAATAGGGATAGAAGAAGGTGAAGAAATTCAGCTCAAAAGTACAGAAAGCTTATTCAACAAAATCATTGGAGAAAACTTCCTGAAGCTAAAGATATGCCTATAAAAGTACAAGAAGCTTACAGAACAATAAATAGATTGGACCACAAAAAGAAGTCCCCTCGCCACATAATAATCAAAACACCAGCAGGGCATTGGTGGTGATGGCTTTAATCCCAGCACTTGGGAGGCAGAGTCAGGTGGATCTGTGAGTTCGAGACTAGCCTGGTCAACAAGAGCTAGTTCCAGGACAGCCTCCAGAGCCACAGAGAAACCCTGTCTTGAAAACAAAAAACAAACAAACAAACAAAAAATCAAAACACCAAAGGGAACATGGATGCCAGCCCAGACTACTGTATCCAGAAAAGCTTTCAATCACTATAGATGGAGAAGACAAGATATTCCATGACAAAACCAGATGTAAGCAATACATATCCACAAATCCAGCCCTACAGAAATTAATGGAAGGAAAACTCAAATGTAATGAAGATAACTACGCTCAAAAAACCGGCTGCTGGGCTAACAAAGAATGGGCTTGCATTCACTCTGACAGGAATGTAGTCAGAGATGATTTCATACTGAAAAGCTGCGGCTGGAAAGATGGCTTGGTGGCTAGAAGGGGACACCTGCTCTTTAGGGGACCTGAGTGCAGCTCCCCACATCTCTATCAGGCAGCTCCCAGTTCCCTGTAACTCCAACACTGGAGGGTCCAATAACCTCTCCTGGCCTCTGTGAACACCTGCATTCATTTGTACAACCCCCCCGGACACCATGAATACATTAAAAAATTAGAAAAACTTTATTGATAAGCAGTAATTGAGGAGAAGCAGACAGGCAGCATAACTGTAACTGATGGCACCATCCAAGCAGAGACAAGCGATCAAGAGAAATACATGTGGTTTATAGGAAATCTCACAATAGAAACGCTTTGTTTAAAGTAGAGAAACTTACTCTTTTCTGTTTATTCTGCAGCCCATCTTCTTTATTTTCTGTTTCACCCACCAGTTAGAAGGTCTGCTCCAATGTTGTTAAAGACCTTGTCAATCTGCTGAAATACAAGTCCGACAAAGATACCCCAATATAATTGTCATTTTGTTCCTAAAAGACTAAGGACTCTTAAGTGAGGCACACTCTCAAACATTTTCTGTAAAAATGAATGTCATCTTACCTGACTTCCAGCATGTGCAACGTTTGTCTCCTCGGGAGCGCTCATTTGATTCCCTATGTCCAAAGACCTACAAGATGGACAGAATTATGGAAAGGTAGTTAAAACAAACAAACATCAACTTCATTCCTTAGCTCAGATTTCCCTAATATTTTCCCACATTATTTTACCCAAATAATAATAAAAATGATGATGATAACATCTGGGGCCATGAAAGTCTGGTGACAACTCCAGAACCCATGTAAAACAGTCAGCTGTGGTGGCATGCATCCGTAAATCTAGCAGTCCTGCTAGGCATGGGGCAAAGATTACAGAATTGACTGGAAGGTCAGGGCCAGCTAGTCTGTAGTACACACAGCAGAAAGAGATGCTGACTCAACACCGTGGAGGGAGCCACCTCCCAAAAACTGTCTGATAGGGGAATGTCCTTCATAGAATACAGAACAAATCCTCTAAACTCTTTACAATGTGTTTTAAAATATACATTGGCTTGGTAGAGAAAAAAACAGAGTAGCTGGGTGTGGTGGCACACGCCTTTAATCCCAGGGTTTCAGAGGCAGAGGCCAGCAGATCTCTATGATTTCAGCCTGATTTACAGAGCAAGTTCCAGGACAGCCAAAGATACACAGAGAAAGCCTGTCATTAAAGCCCAAAAATAAAAGAAACAGAGTAGTTTAAAAGAAAGAAAAAAAGCCACATAAAGATGGAGAATACACAGAGAGTCTGGATATTGTATGTTATGTTGTCTCTGAATTGCTTGACAAGCTGTTGCTGAACATGGAGCAAGAGCTGCTAAAAGACATTTGATTATAAATACTGCCAGATTAATCTAATGTATATATTTTAAAAATGCCTTGACTTCAAAATTTAAGTCTAAGGACATGTTACTTTGGAGAAGAGGTTCTGCTTTTGTTTCCATAGAAGATGAAAAGCTATGGATTCCTTCCAGAATAATATGGTTTGATCAAATAAGACCTCTTGAGGATCCAACATCCAAAACAACTGACTACTTACTACAGCCAGGATTTGGCTATGATTCTAGGTTTTCTCAAGATCCCCTTGGGATTGATAGCACCCACAAACAGCAAGAAACAATTTGAAGAGAACTGTGTCCCAAATTCCCAAATATTGTTTATAAATGTTTGTTTTCATTTGAATAGGGTTATAGTTATAAATGGCTAATGATCACAGTCAAACTCTTTCTAAAGAAAACAGGGGTTAGGATGTAGAAATGAATACTTTGCATTGGTATGGATTTTGGGTTATTGTTAAAAATTTAAGGTCAATTTTGTTATATGTATATTTCTACTCTTGTTTAGGTATTGTGTTTACACAGTTCTTTTAAAATTGTAATGTACTCTGGCCCACCTTCCTCTGCTTGGAGACACCTGAGGCCTGGCACTGAGCACTGCTGCGGGCCCGATCCAGAGGGATCCAGCCAACACAGAGTCTGCCAAGGACCTGGTACCAGAACTGCCTACATATACGGGAAGAGGAGAGACATCAGAGTATAGGAACTGTTTACACACACCAGAACCTTGGTCCAGTACCCACCAGGAGAAGAAGGGACTCCTTCTTCAGCCACTAGAAGATGAGATGGGAAGAGAATAATATAAAAACACATCCAACAACAGAAAAACCATTATGACAACACCGGACACTAGGGACTCTACACCAACGCGACCTAAACATCACAACGCAGATGAAGCAGAACAGCATGACCACAAAAAAAACTTCATGAACATGATACAGGCCCTCAAAGAGGATATGAGAAAACCCCTGAAAGAAATGGAAGAGGAAACAAACAAAAAATTTAAGAAATCAACAAATCTCTTAAGGAAACAATTCAAGACCTAAAAACTGAAATAGAGACAATAAAGAAGCAAACAAACTGAGGGAATCCTAGAAATACAAAAGCTGGGTAAATGATCAGCAACTACAGATGCAAGCAAAAACAACACAATACAAGAGATGGAAGAGAGAATCTCAGGAGTTGAAGATACTCTAGGAGAAATAGACTCATTGACCAAGGAAAATTTTAAATACAACAAATCCCTAACAAAAAAATATCCAGGAAATATGGGACACTGTGAAAAGACCAAACCTAAGACTAATAGGTATAGAAGAAGGTGAAGAAACCCAACTCAAAGGTACAGAAAACATACTCAACAAAATCATAGAAGAAAACTTTCCCAACCAAAAGAAGGACATGCCAACGAAAGTAAAAGAAGCCTATAGAACACCAAATAGAGTAGACCACAAAAAAGTCTCCTCGACACATAATAATCAAAACCCCAAACATACAGAATAGAGAAAGAATATTAAGAGCAGCAAAGGAAAAATGTCAAGTAACATATAAAGGCAAACCTATCAGAATTACACTTGACTTTTCCATGGAAACTCTGAAAGCCAAAAGATCCTGGATAGATATTCTACCAACACTAAGGGACCATGGATGCCAGCCAAGACTACTGTACCCAGCAAAGCTTTCAATCACTATAGACGGAGAAAACAAGATATTCCACAACAAAACCAGATTTAAACAATACATATCCACCAATCCAGTCATACAGAAAGTTCTGGAAGGAAAACTGCAACCCAAGGAAGTTAACTACAACCAGAAAAAACATAGGCAATACATAATCAAACATCACCAACAGCAAAAAGAAAAATGGTCTTCACTCATCTATAAAAAGAAACAGGCTAGCAGAATGGATATGGAGACAGAATCCATCCTTCTGCTGCATATAAGAAACACATCTCAACTACAAAGACAGACGGTACCTCAGAGAAAAGGGTTTGAAAAAGACTTTCCAATCAAATGGACACAAGAAAAAAGCGGGGCTAGCAATCCTAATATCTTACAAATTACACTTTAAACTAAAATCAATCAACAGAGATGAAAGAGGTCACTTCCTATTCATCAGAGGAGAAATCCATCAAGATGAAGTCTCAATTCTGAATATCTGCCCCAAATACAACGCCATCCATGTCCGTAAAAGAAACATTACTAAAATTCAAATCACACATAAAACCTCACACACGTATAGTGGGAGACTTCAACACCCCACTCTCACCACTAGACAGGAACACCAGACAGAAACTTAACAAAGAAACAAAGGAACTAATAGAAGTTATGGCCCATTTGAGTTTAACAGACATATATAGAACATTCCATCCAAACACAAAAGAATACACCTAATTCTCAGCGCCACATGGAACATTCTCTAGAATCGACCACATACTTGGCAACACAGCAAATCTCACCAATATAAAAAAATTAAAATAACCCACTGTATCTTATCATACCAACATGCTTTAAAGTTAGAATTCAACAACAACACAAACTGCAGAAAACCTACAAACTCATGGAAATTGCACCATTCTGGGTCACAGAAGAAATAAAAAAAGAAATTAAAGACTTCCTAGAATTCAATGAGAATGAAGACACAAAATACCCAAACCTATGGGACACTTTGAAATCAGTGCTAAGAGGAAAGTTCATAGTACTAAATGCCCACATGAAGAAACTGGAGAATAGCCACACTAGAGAATTAACAGTGCAACTGAAAGCTCTAGAACAAAAGGAAGCAAGCTCTCCCCGGAAGAGTAGACACTAGGAAATAATCAAATTGAGGGCTGAAATCAATAAAGTAGAAACTAGGAAAACAATACAAAGAAACAATGTAATGAAGAGTTGGTTCTTCGAGAAAATCAACAAGATAGACAAACCTTTATCCAAACTTATCAAACGGCAGAGAGTGAACATGCAAATTAACAAAATCAGAAAGAAAAAGGGGGACATAATAACAGACACAGAGAAAATCCAGAGAATCTTCAGGTTATACTTTGAAAACCAGTATTCCTCAAAATTTTGAAAGTCAAAAGGAAATGGACAATTTTCTGGATAGGTATCACTTACCAAAATGGAGTGAAGAACAGACAAGCAATTTAAATAGACCTAAAAACCCTAATGAAATACAAAAAGTCATCAAAAGGCTCCCAACCAAAAAAAGCACAGGGCCAGATGGTTTCAGTGCAGAATTCTACCAGAAATTCAAAGAACAGCTAATACCAATTCTACTCAAAGTATTCCACACAATAGAAGCAGAAGGGTCATTGCCAAACTCATTCTACGAGGCTTCAATAACCTTGGTACCCAAGTCACAACTAAGAAAGACGACTACAGACCAATACCCATCATGAACATCGATGTAAAAATACTCAATAAAGTACTGGCAATCAATTCCAAGAATACATCAGAGAAGTCATCGACCATGATCAAGCAGGCTTCATCCCAGGGATGCAAGGATGGTTAAACATATGAAAATCCATCAACATAACCCACCATATAAACAGACTGACAAAAACCACAGGATCATCTCACTAGATGGTGAGAAAGCCTTTGACAAAATCTAACACCCCTTTCATGATAAAGGTCTTGGAGAGATCAGGGATAACAGGAACATACCTAAACATAAGAGAAGCAATATACAGCAAGTCAAGAGCCAACATCAAACTAAGTGGAGAGAAACTGAATGATATTCCTCTAAAATCAGGAACAAGACAGGCTGTCCACTCTCTCCATAACTCTTCAATATTGTTCTTGAAGATCTAGCTAGAGCAAAAGGACAACAAAAGGAAATCAAGGGGATATAAATTGGAAAGGAAAAAGTCAAACTTTAACTATTTACAGATGAGTTTAAATAAGTGACCAAAAAATCGCTAGCATGGAACTCCTACAGCTGATAAACACCTTCAGCAAAGTGGCAGATTAACTCAAAAAAATATGAGTAGCCCTACTATATGCAGATGATAAATCAGCTGAGAAGAAAATCAGAGAAACATCACCCTTTACAAATGCCACAAACAAAATAAAATACCTTGGGGTAACGCTAACCAAAAAAGTGAAAGACCTGTACTGTAAGAATTTTGGGTCTTTAAAAAAAGAAATTGAAGGGGATACCAGAAAATGGAAGGATCTCCCATGCTCTAAGATAGGTAGGATCAACATAGTAAAAATGGCAATCTTGCCAAAAGCAATCTACATATTCAATGCAATCCCCATCA